AACTCTGCCTTTCCAATAAAAATAAAACAAATCCTTTTTTTTTTAAAGATTTATTATTTTTATTGGAAAATCAGATATACAGAGAGGAGAAGAGATAGAGAGGAAGATCTTCCATCCAGTGATTCACTCCCCAAGTGACTGCGATGGTTGATGCTGTGCCAGTCCAAAGCCAGGAGCCAGGAACCTCCTCCAGGTCTCCCACGTGGGTGCAGGGTCCCAAGGCTTTGGGCCGTCCTCTGCTGCCTTCCCAGGCCACAAGCAGGGAGCTGGATGGGAAGTGAAGCTGCTGGGATTAGAACTGGCATCCATATGGGATCCTGGTGCGTTCAAAGCGAGAACTTTAGCCGCTAGGCCACCGTGCCGGGCCCAAAATAAATCTTAAAAAAAAAAAAAAAAAGTTTAGAAAGATGGAATTAAAAGCTAGGCTTATTTTGTTACAAGAAAGAAATTTTGAAAGCCATGCACAAGATCTGCATAACGTGTATTTTCCTTGAACTTCAAAATGTTTCCATTTTTATTTCCTTCCTTACTGCGATTTACTTGACAGACAGTGGATGGAACAGCCACTGCTTCACTCTGCAGATGCCCAAGCAGCCAAGGCTGACCGGGCTAACACCACCAGAAGCCAAGAACCCGATCCCGATCCAGGTCTCCCAGACAGGGAACCGGGCCAGTCACCTACTGCCATCACAGCTTGTCGTGAACAGAGAGCTGCACCTGCCGGCTGGATGTCCAAACCCAGGAACTGTGTCCCACATGGCACTTTCACCACTGGGCTATTTATTTGACTCACTCCCCAAATGTACGTGAAGGCTCCCAGTGGCTGATGCTGGGCTTGGGAGCTGGGAACCCAATCCAGTTACCACCCATGGTGAGTGACAGCAGGCAGTCACAGGAGCCGTGATGGCTGCCCCCCTCCCCCCCCGACCACCCTGGGTCTGTGAGAGCAGGAAGCAGGAGTCGGCAGTGCAGCTGGCATGCAGCTGTTTTAACCGCCACGCTGCCCACCTGCCCCAGCCCAGACTGTCAGAGGTAGGTTCTGAAGTTCCTCCTAGCATGGACTGGCTTGGTACAAGCTTCTCAGAGCCAGGGCCTCCACCCCCAAGCAGCCACATGTTGTGGAGTGAGAGCCCATGTCCCGCAGATGCTTCCAACACGGGGCCGTGCGAGTTGCCAACGGCCATGATAACGGCTGACTCATTTAGGTATAAACGGACAAGCTGGAGCCAGACACCTGGCATGCAAAGGGCACGGAGGAGCAGTGAGTGTCTGGCACCCCTCAGCTGATGGAATCTGCAACACAGTATCTCCTGCTTGCTGGTGAAGAAAATTGGATCCACCCACACCACCGATATTCTGGAAAGAATTAATTCACTGCCCTTTACAGGTACATTAATATCTTATGGTTTTTAAAAAAAGGAATTAAAAGTCTCAAAACTTTGTGCAGCCAACAAGGAAACCACCAAGCAAACGCCTCCCCAGCACCATGGAGCAACTGCAAGTTCAACTCCAGAAGGCAGTGGATGGCTACCTTCAAAGGCATTAACATTCTGATACTTATTTTAGAAGAGGAAAAGAATCAAGAAATAAAGATCAGTCCTTTTGTTTTTTTTTCTTCCCCCACACATCTTAGCCTCGCCCATCTCTGCTGCCTTGCTCTCTAAACCACACATTCTCCAGAAAGCTTCTGGAATGAAGGACCGGATGGATGTGGGAAGAGCAGATACCAGCGTGCACTGTGGTCTTGCGTGCAACCCGCAGAACGAAAAAGCACCAGGTGAGGATTTGAGTGGGAGGCCCAGGACACCTTCCCCAGAGCATCATCTGCACCACGGGCACCCGAGCCTAGCACTGTTGTGCCATTCATCAGGCAATTGGACATGCCTACGGAGTTGCCAGGATGGCACGATGCAGACCCAAGTCCCATGCAGCTGGTGGGAGGAACTTTCCAAAATAAGGCCCAGAGGAAAGGAGAGTGGAATCAGAATAAAACCTTGGCTAGTCTTCTTCCTCTCCCTGCAAAGTAGGGCTTCATCTGCCACCCAGGCCCTGCAGGTGCCTACCAACGTGGCCGGGCACTCCCCAGGCAGCCATCCCAGGCCCAGCAGCTCCTGACTTCCTGCGGCACTAAGGAGCCACCTTACCCATCAACTATAGCTCTGTTTTCTCTCCTGAATGGCGGAGGGCCAGGTGCTGGGTCTGGAGGCAGGGGTGAGGGTCCCAGCTCCTGACTGTAGCTACGCACCCATGCAGACGCTGGCAGGCAGGGGTGAGGGCGCAGAGCACGTGGGAAACCTGGATGGAGGGATGGAGTTACTGGCCCATGCCTAGCTGACAGTTCTCTCTCTCTAGCTGTCTGTCTCTGTCACTCAGACAAATAAGGGGGGAAAAAAAAATCCTGAAAATAAACCAGAAAAATCAAAATACCAACTTCTTTTTAAAAGGAAAGCTACACCAGATTGGTAGCAATTCAGAACAGCTGAACTATCAAAACCACTTGAGCAGTGCCCTTGGAGCATGTCCCACGTGGGGACCTGGGATGGGTGGGAGGCTGGGTGGGGCTTCTCCCTTTAACTCCCCCCTTACCCTAGATACTAGATACAGAATAAATAATGTGGAAACAATGGTCTTACCCACCTTCCTGCAGCTCCTGTCCCTTTGTACTCTAACCAACCATGTAAAGATTATCAAAATAAAATAATAATCTAAAAAAAAAAACCAATAAACAAATAAATATAATAAGAGGAGAGCTACTTGCTGGAAGCAAGCAGGAGCTGTTGTTGTCAATATTAGCTTAGCTGTCATTAGTTTGTTTCTGTGTTGCTGGCTCCTGGCTTCAGATTGGCCACTGCAGCCACCTGGGGAGTGAACCAGCAGGTGGAAGAAGATCTTTGTCTCTCTTTCTCTCTGTAAATTTGCCTTTCTAACAAAAATGAATAAATCTTTTTTTTTTAAATGAAACAAATAAAAATAAATCAATCTAATAAATAAATGGTTCTGCTTTGTATGGCTTGTTCTCTCAACAGACACACCGACTGACTTCCGGGAAACTCATACGATCATTTGGAGTCTCAGAGCGCAGGAACGGCTCAACGCTGAACACAGACCTTCCCGGCAGAAGCATCAGGCCCTTTGCCCTGCGGCCCAATTCCTTTGTTATCTGCAGTTCTTAAACCCCTTCTCAGTTACCCCACATTTTAAAGATGGAGAATTTCTTATGATGAAGCGGGTGGAAGACACAAAAACAAGATAAGAAACACACATCCCGTTTCCCGGCTTTGGACAAACGGCTGCCATGAAACTGCTGTTCAGGGGGCAGGGACCGACATAAGGAAGATCTGTGGACACCTGTTGGGCAGCAGGTGGCCACGGCGGCTTCTGGGGGCGCATGCCCAGGATCCCTTCTCAAAGCTACCACACCAGGATGAAAAGCAGGCGAGCTCCCTGGCCCCGTCTTCCTCCTCCAACCCCTAAAGGGAAAAAAGAGTGGGACCCACGGCAGGTCAGCAAAGCAGGAAATGAAGATGGCTACTGCCTAAACCGGCCAGGCCTGTCTAGAGCGGCCAGGGCTCCTCCCCACCTGTAAAGGATGCCCCAGGTGCAAAGGCAAACGGCTTTTCCAGTTCAGACAATCCCACACCAGGGCCACACAGGGGTTGTTTTTGCCCACACCCACACCCAGGTCACTGGCTCACCTGCTCACCTGCCAGAGGCAGATCCTTGGCAAGGACCAGCTGGGCACTGCCCACCCCTTCTGCCACCGGAATCCACCTTCCCCAAATGGGAACGAGCAGCGAGAGTCACACAGAGACCCCAACTTCCCAGCTCCATCTCCAGGCAGCCAGACACTTGCCAGCAGAGGGGCACAGGTCAGAGGGAGAAGATTTGGCCTGGTGGCTCCAGAAGCCCAGCACTGCCCTTCCCAGGCACCAGGGCCCCATCCACGGAGGTGCATGGCCCCTGTCCACGAAGGCACATGGCCTGTCCACAGAGGCACCAGGCCCATGTCCACGAAGGCAATCGGGTCCCTGTCCACAGAGGTGCATGGCCTGTCCACGAAGGCACCTAGGATCCTGTCAACAGAGGCACCTAGGCCCGAGTCCACGGAAGCACATGGTCTGTCCACGGAAGCACGGAGACCCCTGTCCATGGAGATGCGTGGCCTGTCCACGGAGGCACATGGCCTGTCCACGGAGAGGCACCAGGCCTAACCACGGAGGAACCCAGCCCCTGGCAACGGAGGTGCATGGTTTGTCCAAACAGGTGCACGCCTGACCAAGGAGGCGTATGGCCTGTCTCTAGAGGCACCCAGGACGCTGTCCACGGAGACACATGGCCTGTCTACGGAGACGCATGGCCTGTCTACGGAGACGCATGGCCTGTCCACGGAGACGCATGGCCTGTCTACGGAGGCACCAGGCCTCTGTCCACAGAGGCGCACGGCCTGTCCACGGAGACGCATGGCCTGTCCACGGAGACGCATGGCCTGTCTACGGAGGCACCAGGTCCCTGCCCACGGAGGCGCACGGCCTGCCCACGGAGACGCATGGCCTGTCCACGGAGACGCATGGCCTGTCTACGGAGGCACCAGGTCCCTGCCCACGGAGGCGCACGGCCTGCCCACGGAGGCGCACGGCCTGCCCACGGAGGCACCAGACCCCTGTCCATGAAGACGCACGGCCTGGCCTCCCGCCACCATCATTCCAGGACAGCAGCCGCACGCCCTGCGCCCCACTGCAGCTGAGCCGAGCTGCACTTCGCTCGCAGCAGGTCATCATGTGAGAGCTCGGGGCGGCCTCCACCTGTGGCAGACCCCCGCTAGGCCAGGCAGGGCGCCTCCCGGACCGGCATCGGTCCCGCGGAGAGGCCGCACGCGCGGCCAGGCCGGGCAGCCGGGAGGTGGCGTCGGCGCCCAGCGGGACGCGCGCACGGCCCCCGAGCCGAGCCGGGCACCCCTGCCCTGTCCGCCACCCGTCGCCGAGCCGCACGCGGAGCCTTACCGAGACACTGCCCCACCGGGGTGCTAAACGGATTCCCCAGCAGGAACTCCATCTTGGCCCGGGCGCCCTGTCCACCGCCTGGGTGTCCGCCGTCCCCCAGCCGCGCTCCCGACCTGACTGACACTTTCCCCCTTCTCCACCCCTCGGGAACGGCGAGCGCCCGGCCTTCGGCCCCGCCCACCGCCGCGTTCTATTGGACAAGGGCTACGTAGCCCTCTTCCGATTGGCCGTTACTGCTAAGCTCGGAGAAGCTCCCACCCACACCGCGGCGTCCGATTGGGTGGAGAGCGCCGTAGGTCACTGGAGTCCCCGTCAGGCGTAGCGGCGCCTCCCCTGGTCCGCCTCCGAAAGAGAGGCTTTACATTTGGATTCGTCCGTCTGTCACGCAAGCTGGAGAATCCTAACTATCATTGGACAAGGAACGAGTCAATCACTCAAATAGGGAAGACGAGGAGGCGGATCTAAGAAGATATCCGCCCATGAAAAGTGCTGATTGGATAAACGTTTGTTTTCTCTAAACCTGGTTGGTTGGAGTTGTCCGGCTGGAGAGCTGATCACGTGATCCGTCAACTTTCACCCAGGATGTGTAGCGTTTAACTTCCACTTAGCAACCGAGCGGCGGTGCTTGTCTCCCCAGCAACCGGAGGACGCTCTCACTGCGCTGTAGCTTGAGAAGGTGAGAGCGGGAGCCGCGACTCTGGGAGGACCGAGGGGCGCCTTCCCACCGACCTAGCCCTCCTGAGGCTGTCTTCTCGGGATGCTGGTCTGGTTCTCATTTTTTTAATTAAAATTTTCACTCAGTTTGAGAGGCAGAGACAAATAAACGGCTGCTGTCCACGAGCCCAAAGCCCAGGGTTGGGCCAGGCCAGAGCCAGGAGCCAGGGACTCTACCTGCTTTCCTATGTGGGGTGGTGGGATGCAGGTACCTGTCCCTGCCCAGACTCCCTGGGGTGTGCATCAGCAAGAACCTGGCCTCCGGGGCCAGCGTGGCTGGAACTGGACCCCACGCCCTCTGTGTGGAGATGCGGTGTCCCAGCCCCGCACCCACGCACAGCTCCTCCCGTCTGGGCAGTGGAGCCACGGCGGACTTCCTGCCCAGAGGAGACACAGCCGTCAGACAGAACGCCCGGGGATCCTTGCTGGGTGGGTCTCCCGCTCAGGTGCAGGATCCCAACGCTTTGGGCCGTCCTCGACTGCTTTCCCAGGCCACAAGCAGGGAGCTGGATGGAATGGGAAGTGGAGCAGCCGGAATAGAAATTGGCACCCATTCGGGATCTCGGTGCATGCAAGGCAAGAACTTTAATCACTAGCCTACTGCACTGGGCCCTTTCTTTTTTCAGTTTATTTATTTTAAAGGCAGAGTGGAAGTGAGGAAGAGTGTGAGGGAGAAATATCTTCCAGGCCCAGTGCAATGGCACAACGGTTAAATCCTCACCTTGCAAGCACCAGCATCCGATATGGGTACCAGTTCATGCCCTGGCTGCTCCACTTCCCATCCAGCTCCCTGCTTGTGGCCTGGGAAAGCAGTCAAGGATAGCCCAGACACTTGATATCCTGTATCCACATCGGAGACCAGGAAAAAGCTCCTGGCTCCTGGCTTCGGACTGACTCAGTTGCGGCCATGGCAGCCACTTGGGGAATGAAGCAGCTGACAGAGGTTCTTTAAATATCTCCTTCTCTCTGTAAATCTGCCTTTCCAATAAAAATAAGTGAATCTTAGAGTAATTTCTGGGGGCTGGTGCCATGATATAGCACATCGGAGCTCTCCCAGTGGCGCCAGCATCCCGTGTGAGTCCTATCTGCTCCACTTCCCATCCAGCTCCCTGCTAATGCATCTGGGAAAGCAGAAGAGAATGAGGCAAGAGCGTGGGCCCTGGTGCCCCAGTGGAAGTCCTGGATGGAGCTTCTTGTCCCCCTTCAGACTAGCCTAGCCCTGAATGCTGGGGCCATTTGGGAGTCTACTAGTACATGAATGATCTCTCTCTCTCTCTCTCTCTCCCTCTCTCTCTCTCTCTCTCTCTTCCTCGCTCTTCTTAGCTCTGCTTTGCAAATAAAAATCTTTACAAACAATAACAACAGTTTTCCCCAAACACTTTGTATCTAACAGGTGCCCAGTGTAGGCCAGTGGCCTTTCCCCGCCATAACCTTAGGGAAAATAGAGCTGGGAGGCTGGGGGAGAGACCTAGGATTGGATGGCTCATGCCAAAGAAAAGCCAGGAGGGGGTGGGGAGACAAGGCCAGCCACCTGAGAGAGGGAAGACCTCTGGGCAGAGGAACAATCAGGTGGAGAGGAGGGGAGGCGGTGAGCGTTGGGGTGTCTGGTCTGGGACGGGTTAGGAGCACACGATGCGTGTTTGCGCATCGGGAGGAAAGGCGGACAGGATCGGCCCACCTAAGCTGGATGTGCAGTGGATACCTGAAGTGACATGAAAGGTGTGGGGCAGAGGCTGCCAAGCCTCAGGGGCAGAAGGCAAGAGGCACCTGAGGTGGGCACAGGAGGCGGAGTTCCAGTAGACCGGGAGGGACAGCTGGACTGACTCCTCCTGGCCTCTCTCTCGGCCACATCCCTCAGCAGCATCAGCACCCCAGCCCAGGCACGACCGGGGTTGGACTGGGCAGCTGGCCCCCGACTCAGGTTCCTGATCCCAGCATCCTGGGAATGCACATCCCCAAGGAGGGAGGTGACCTCCGGGCACTGTCCACCCACCCCTGGGGGAGGCTCCTGGCTTCCCCTTCCTGTGCCTCTCCATTTGGGGATAAATCAGTATGTGGCCACTCTCCATTTCTGCTTGTCACGTCAATCAGTCCGTGAAACACACACACAGTGAGTTAGCCTGTGAGCAGTAGAGGATTTGAGGTATCAAACCCAGAACGGCTCCCAGTGGACCCAGCCTGGATATTCAGGATCTCAGAGACTCAAAAGGCCTCTGTGGTCACCTCTGTGACCACCCCCCAGCCACGACCCCCACCTCTGTCCCCCTCTGCCTGTCCCATGTCGGCGTCTGCCTGTCCCGTCCCCCTCTGCCTGTCCCCTGTTGACGTCTCTACCCCTTTTGCTTTCTGCCTGTCCTCTGTGTCTCCCCTCCCACACCCCCTGCCCCTGAATCCCGCAGCTTTCCCTTCCCACCTCTGTCCCTTCTGCTCACAGCTCCCCTGTGCCTGGCTGGCCTGCAGGGGGTGGGTGCATCCCCAGGCCGTCCTCTGGCCGTGCTAGAGGAGTCTGGGGCAGCTGCAACTCAAGCAGCTGGCTCTAATGCACACTCACCCTGCTCCCAAGGGCCCATTTCTCAGGGACAGGACATGTGGCAGGGGCGGGCAGTGTGGCCCATGTCTGCCTCCCTGTGCACAGGCTATGGGAGGCAAGGCAAGGAGGTACCCTTGCTGAGGCTGGTAAGTGAGCACAGCTCATGGTGGGCACTGGGAGACCTGGGCCAGGAGGCACAGTCACAGAGCCACAGCCTTGGGCTGGGAAACCAGCCAGCCCCCCAGGGTGGCTGTGCTTATAAGAGGAAAGGGGTGGGGCCCAGGGTGATAGCACAGTAGTTAAAGTCCCAGTGCCCTAGTTCCCATCCAGCTCCCTGCTTGTGGCCTGGGAAAGCAGTAGAGGACAGCCCAAAGCCTTGGGACCCTGCACCCGCATGGGAAACCAGGAAGAGCTCCTGGCTCCTGGCTTCAGATTGGCTCAGCTCCAGCCGTTGCGGCCGCTTGGGGAGTGAATCATCAGATGGAAGATCTTCTTTCTGTCTCTCCTCCTCTCTGTATATCTGACTTTCCAATAAAAATAAATACATCTTACAAAAAAAAAAAAAAAAGGAAAGGGGTGGGCCCAGATGGTTCCAGAAAGGTCTAGAGATGTCCTGACCTGAGGGGCAACAGGCCAAGGGGCAGGAGTGGATGATCCTCACAATGGAGACACTCCAACAGGGCCAGGAGCCAGGGCGGGTGAAGTCACCATTAGCAATGCCTGCATGTCATGTTGGAGTGGTGCTGTTTTTCAAAATTCACTTTAAAAACACAGAACCTTCTATCTGCTGGTTCCCCCAAATGGTCACAACAGCCAAAGCCGAGGCAGTCCAAAGCCAGGAACCTCCTCCAGGGCTCCCTTGCGGGTGCAGGGTCCCCAGGCTTTGGGCCGTCCTCCTCTGCTCTCCCAGGCCCCAAGCAGGGAGCCAGTGGTCCCTGCTATGGAACCTTGCTATGGGACAGTGCCAGCTCCTGGGGTGCTGCTCTGCCCATCCAGCTTCCTGGAAACAGAAGTTGTCCCTAGGGTCTGATCCCCTGCCATCCACGTGGGAGACCCGGACAGAGTGGCAGGCTCCTTAGCATCGGCCTGGCCTCACACTCGCTATTGGGTCGTTTGGGGAGTGAAACAGTGAATGGAAGATACTGACTTCTGTCCTCTCTGTCTTTGGAAGGGAAGAAAGCAAAGACACCCAGTGGGTGGAAGGACGCCTTAAGGCGAGACCTCAGACACCCCCAAGACAAGGTCACATGTGTCTCGCAGGCAAGATGAGCCGGTTGTACCACTCCATCGAGCCATGCGTGATGGATGACGAGTTGCTAAAGCTGGTGGTGAGCGAGCAGGGCCCCCGCGAGGAGGCCGGGCAGCTGGCCAAGCAGGAGGGCATCCTCTTCAAGGACGTCTTGTCCCTGCGGTTGGACTTCCAGAGTGCGTATATCCCCTCTCCTTACCCCTTCCCACTGCGATGGGAAGCAGAGGGCGGGTGAGTAAGGGCAGGGCAGCAGGGACCCTGATGGTGAGGGGCAACCTGGGATGGTAGTCCAGTCCCAGCAAGTGGGAATTGGGGCTGGAAAACAATAGCTCCTTACTGCCCCATCTCCCGAAGAGGTGTCTGCGGCAGCAGCCGCCCCCCCCAAAAGTGAGATAGCAGGGAGGGGCGCACAGTGAGGGGCGTGTGGAGGAAGCGGGGAGGAGCCTGTCCCCATCCTGCCTGGGCGGTGTGCAGTGCGTGTTGCAGTGTTGCAGTGCGAAGTGCGTGATGCACGGTGCGCGCGGGGCCTGGTGCGCGCGGGGCCTGATTCTCACACCTGCTGTGTCTGGAGGCCTGCAGCCTCAAGAGACAAGCACAGGCGCAGAATGGCGGCCATCCGAAGGAACTGGGGCACCTGCCTCAAGTCCGCAGGCCAAATGGAATGTACGAATGCCGTGCATTTGTTTGCCGAGTACTGTTCCAGGAACCAGGAAACAACTTGACTGCGAGGAAAAATTTTAAAAGGGACCCAAACCTTGGTCCCATGGAACTGACACTCAGGCAAGAGACACATTTAAGGGATAAGGAGCGAAGCTTAGGAAGCCTGTGTTGTGGCATAGTGAATGACAACCATCCGCTGTGACGACACCGGCATCCATGTGGGCATCGGTTCAATTCCTGACGGCTCCATTTTTGTATCCAGCTCCCTGCTAGTGGCAAAACATGGACCAGGCTCCTCTTCCCGTGTGGGAGACCTGGCTGGAGCTCCTGGCTCCTGGCTTCGGACAGCCATTTGGGGAGTGAACCAGCAGGTGGAAGACATCTCTCTAATTCTGCCTCAAATAAAGGAATACATCTTAAAACAAAAAAAGGGGAGGGGAGAGACAGAAAAGGGGGTGTGGAGGGGCTCCAAGGTGCATAGTGAAGCTAGTATACCAGTACATGGTATGAAAATGGGGTGAGGGGGCCCTGCACGGTAGCCTAGTGGCTACAGTCCTATGCATGGGGATCACGTGGGCACCAGTTAATGTCACTGCTGCTCCACTTCCCATCCAGCTCCCTGCCTGTGGCCTGGGAAAGCAATCGAGGACGGCCCAGAGCCTTGGGACCCTGCACCCGCATGGGAGACCCAGAAGAAGCTCTTGGTTCCTGGCTTCGGATTGGCACAGTTCTGGCCTTTGCAGCCACTTTGGGAGTGAATCAGCAGACAGATCTTCCTCTCTGTCTCTCCTCCTCTCTGTATATCTGATTTTGCAATAAAAATAAATAAATCTTTTAAAATATTTAAAAAATAAAAAGAAAATGGAATGAGGGAAGGGGTGTTGTGTAGCATTTTAATATAAAGTCAAGAGGCAGTAGGATTTGCTAGTTTTAGCCCCAGGATAAATGAGAGATGTTTGGGGTTTTTTTAAATTTAATTTAATTTAATTTTTACTTTTAAAATATATCATTTTTAAGGTTTATTTATTTTTATTGGAAAGTCAGATATACAGAGAGGAGGAGAGACAGAGAGGAAGATCTTCCATCCAATGATTCACTCCGCAGATGGCTGCAACAGCCAGTGCTGTGCCAATCCAAAGCCAGGAGCCAGGAACTTCGTCCAGGTCTCCCAGGCAGGTGCAGGGTCCCAAGGCTTTGGGCCGTCCTCGACTGCTTTCCCAAGTCGCAAGCAGGGAACTAGAAGGGAACTAGGGCACTGGGATTAGAACCGGCGTCCATATGGGATCCCAGCATGTACAAGGCGAGGACCTCAGTTGCTAGGCCACCACGCTGGGCCCTATTATCATTCTATGGTACAGTTCCATAGGCCCTGGGATTTCCTCTCCTCTTCCCATATCCCTCCCCCACCAGATTCCCCTACATTATTACTGTAGCATAGCTCTTCATAAATAGTCACATGTTCATCATTGTGGGCATGGACAGTGGCAGAGTCCAGCCTCCTATTGTCAAGATACAGCTAATAGTTTCATTGGGAGTCCATCTTTGCTCTGGAAGTAGAGATGCACACTGCACTGCATCCTCACATCTGGACATGATAGTCTCCATCACACAGTCACCATACGTCCCTCTTACATCAAAAAGCCACAATACAGAATCAACAACAGGAAGAAAAGTAGAAATTTACGACACCATGAATTTCTCAAGAGGTTTTGAGAGTTCAACAGTCCTGAATTGTCGAACCCGCCACTTCAGTTGTGATGAAATCTCTCCCGAACCCACTGGCTGCAGTGGTCCACCTTAGAGTCTCCGTCTGCCCAGATCTTCACTGCCAACGCTTGGTTGGAGTAGCTGATCGATGTGTTCTGTCCTCCGTCCTCTGCCATGGTACCATGTGTCCTCTGCAGACTCCAGTGGACTGCCACATCCTCCATGTGCATCTGGATATGCTGTCCTCTGCTCCATCTGAGCCCCTGAGGAGGCCCAGCTCTGACACATCCACTCCCATTGCAGCCCATGGAACCTGCAGTTCTCTCCGTGGTTGGGGTTCAGAGTCCAGCAGTTCAGTTAGTAGAGAATGCCAAAGAAACCTCATCTGAGACCATCCCAGACCTGATTCTTGTGTGTGTTTGCCAATACAGAGTCTGGCGCAGTCCATCTACTCAAGTCAGCCTACACACACACATTGGCAGTTGGAATTGCTAGGTCAGTTCTGTCTCCAGCCCTATGTTTTACGCAACCCAATGGGTGTTGGAGCCACACATACTTGGCCTTCATGTAAACCAATGGGAACTGCAGCCTAGTCAGAGCGACCCACAATAACCCCCACCAGCCCCGCCCCTGCCCTGGTTCCTGTGCTTGCCAGTGTGTACAGCAGGTCTGGTCTGGTCTGTCACACATCCCATTCAGCTCTCATACATGTTGATGGGTACTGAAGCCCAGTTCGTTCCAACCAGCCCCACTATCCAGTCCACGCTGGTGCCAGTGGGTGCCAGCATCTAAGTCATGCCTGTGCCTGACAGAATTTGGCCCCTGTGCCAGCATCTGCCAGCTGATGCTACGGCAAAGCCCATTGAATCCACACCCGCACTGGCTTATGCATGTACCAGAAGGTACAGTCAGCTCAGCCTGGCTTTTTCCTGATCCAGCTCACATATAGGCCATCAGATGTTGTGGCCCTGCCCGACCTGGTCTGCCCCATTTCAGTTCTCATGCTCACCAGTGGGAGTGGTGGCCCAGCAGGGGGGCCCTCGCAGCCCCCTCACTAGGCCATCCCCACCACTCCCCGGGGTTCACATGTGCTGCTTAGGTGCTGTGGCCCAGTCTGGCACAGCCTGCCCTACCTCAGCATTTGCCAGTGGATGCTGCAGCCTGGCCAGGCCAGGCCCACCCCCAATTCCAACTCATGCTGGTGGGGGCTACAGCCTAGCCCAGCCCTGCCAGCCCCCAGTCCCGGCCCTCATGTGGACTGGCTGGTATTGCACCCTGACCTGGCCTGACCCACACTCCATTCTGGCACTAGGTTTCACCAGTTGGTGATATGGATTGACCCAGCCTGGCCTGCTCCCATCCTGCACCAAATGTACGCCAGTGGGTACCGTATTTTGGCCTGGTCTGGTGTGCTCCCCATCTTGTTTCTTGCATTCACCTGCAGGGAGCGTGTCCCAACAGAGGAGTTGATGTTTGATATTTTTCTTTAACTTATTTAGTTTCATTTGAAATGCAGAATCACATGGCCCGGCGCGATGGCGCAGTGGTTAAGGTCCTCACCTTGCACACCCGGGATCCCATATGGTCGCCAGTTCTAATCCTGGCAGCCCCACTTCCCATCCAGCTCCCTGCCTGTGGCCCGGGAAAGCAGTCGAAGACGGCCCAAAGTTTTGGGACCCTGCACCCACGTGGGAGACCCGGAAGAGGCTCCTGGCTTCGGATCGGCATAGCATCGGCCGTTGCGCTCACTCGGGGAGTGAATCATCGGACGGAAGATCTTCCTCTCTGTCTCTCATCTCTGTATATCCACCTTTCCAATAAAAATAAAATAAATCTTTAAAAAAAAAAATCACCATTAAAAAAAAAAAAAGAAATGCAGAATTACAGAGAGATAGGAAAAAGTGAATTTTCATCTACTGGTTCACTCCCCAAATGGACACAATGGCCAGACTGGTCCAAAGGCAGGAGCTTCTTCCGGTCTCCCACTTGGGCCGTCTTCTGCTGTTTTTCCCTAATGCATTAGCAGGGAGCTGGATCGCAAGTGCAGCTGGGGGTAGAACTGGTGCCATATAGGATGCCAGTGTGGCAGGCAGTTAACCTGATACACCACAGGTTGGCGTTTCTAGAATGGAAGACCCAGCAGGGCCCTGAGAGGGAAACAGGATAAGATGGGGCTTGGGTTTTCCCAGAACCCCGAAACCTCAACCCACCCCTCCGCCACCACCTGGCTGTGCTCTGGCACTCCCCTCCCCCACCACCTGGCTGCACTCCCTCCCTGGGCTGGCCATGGCACGAGACCAGCGCAGGCTGGGCATGGTGGTGTCTGTTTGGCTCTGTCACGTTCACTGAGCCAGTGGCCAGCACGGCCCGGTCTGTCGGGTATGACTGCCTGGGGGAAAAGCCAGCTGGCAGGTGTGTGTGACAGGCAAGTGGTGCTGCAGGAAGCTGGCCACGGCTAAGGGCATGGGGTGGGAGGGGTGCGTTGGGGGCTCCGATCTGAGCATGAGAAGGTACCTCCTGAGGCCGAGGCAGGGACAGAGGTAGCTGGGAGCCTGGCCCACAACCACCCTGGCCAGACCCTGTCCTTCTGGGAAACAGAGCCTCACTCTGGGTTCGAAGCACAGGCTGCAACCCCAGCCAGCCCCAGCGCACAGGGCCAACTGGATTCAGCAGGGTGGCTGGTGGCTGGGTAGCATCCCTGAGGTTGCCCCGGGGGCCCCTGTGCTTGCTGAGGGGTACAGTAGAGGCCTCTGAATAAATGAGTATAGGTGGCACTTTTTTTAAAAAAAAAAAGCTTTCATTTCTGTGTTTGTAATGAACATTTCAGGAATTGTTACAAAAGCTAATATAGAAATGGAGCCAGCACCTTGGAGTAGTAACCTAAGCTTCTGCCTGTTGTGCCAGAATCCCATGTGAGCACTGGTTCGAGTCCCAACTGCTCTACTTCTGATCCAGCTGTCTGCTGATGGGCCTGGGAAAGCAGCAGAGAATGGCCCAAGTGCCTGGGCCCCTGCACCTGCACGGGAGACATAGATGAAGCTCCAGGCCTCTGGTTTGGAATCAGCTCAGCTCTGGCTGTTGCGGCCACTTCGGGAGTGAAGCAGCAGACGCAAGGTTGATCTCCCTCCCTCTCCAATTCTTCCTTCCAAATTAAAATAAATAAATCTTGTTTTTAGAAAAGCCAATAGAGAGGAAACCTGGGAAAAGGAATTTTTAAAATATATAAATTTGTTTATTTGAAAAAGAGAGTTAAAGGGAGAGAGAAATCTCCCATCCGCTAGTTTTATCCTCAAGTGGCTACAAAACCAGGAACCAGAAACTCCATCCGGGGATCAGGATGGCCTGAGCGCTTGGGCCATCTTCTGCTTTCCCAGGCGTGTTAGCAGGGAGCTGAACCAGAAGTGGAGCACTGCTATGGGATGCCAGGATCCCAGATGGTGGCTTAACGTGCAGTCCCGCCCCGTCCACTGGGATTTTGTGTTCCCCTTGTGAATTCTGATGTCCACGTTGCGGGCCACCTTCTGGCCACCATGGACACAAACCAACCCCCGCTGGCTCCGAAGGAAAAGGAGATGGACTGTGTGCCAGGAGGGTGGCCTCAGGTGGCCCAGGATGAAGGCACATCTGTGGGGCTCCCATGCAGCCAGGGGTGCCTCTGTCCTGGCTTACCACCCCCCCTCTCCCTCCCGCAAGGTGTCCCAGTCTCCTGGGTAGCCCTTGGTCTACATCCCCAACCCTCCGCACCTGTCAGGTCCTCATTTGACCCCGCCCCCCCACCTCCAGGTGTCCCCTAGCGGGTGCTCAGCCTCCATCCAGCCACAGGTGGCACTTGCCTGCCTAGGGGAGCTGGGGGGAGGGGCAGAGCCAGGTCCCCGATGCCAGGCCCCGCCCCCGGCTCCTTGTAGACATCCTGCACATCGACAGCCTCTGGCAGTTCGAGAACCTGCGCAAGCTGCAGCTGGACAACAACATCATCGAAAGGATCGAGGGCCTGGAGAGCCTCGTGCACCTGGTCTGGCTGGGTAAGGAGGCCTGGGGCACAGGACACCTGCCAACATCCTCGCCAGCTGCTATGGGATGCCAGGATCCCAGGTAGCGATCACGTGGGACCCTCAGCTGCCAACCCAGCACGAGCCAGGAGGGGAGCAGGCTGCTGTCTCACACAAGGCGTGTGGCTCACTCAGGGCAAATGGGTAGCCCTGCTCCCCACCTGGCCAGGCGGGGTGCTTGGAAGGGTGGGGGCGGCGTGGCAGCTGCAGGTCCCTTTGCTTTCATCTTGACCAGAGTGGACAGGTAGCTGCTTGATGAGCCAGCCCGTGTGTGGGCTGCCAGAGCACTTCCTGTCTGCACCAGCACCCCATCACACAGATGTGCAAACAGGTCGTAAGACCTAAATGCAGCAGGAGCTTCGCAGCCCAGCTCTGTGCTCCCCCCACACGGGCTTTCCCAGGAGCACCTCTGTGTCTGGGGAGGGACTGGTGGACCCCCAGGAGTGAACCACAGCTCATAGAGGACCACCACAGGACCTGGAAGTAGCTGAGCTGGGACCCCAAAAGTGTTCTCCCACCCCTTATCTCCCTATATACTGTTATTGCTGCAACTGTGGACACCGGTGCCACCAGGGCCGCCAGCGATGGGCAGAAGCACTTGCAACTGTGCGGGAGGCTGAGCGTGAGGGAGTCTGGGGTACTGCAGCCACGTCACAGCTGCAGCCACTGAGGCCGCGAAGCCGCCAGGCAGCATGGTGGCCTGTGCCAACGCCTCCACATCCTCCCTCTCTCTCTCTCTCTCTCTCTCTCTCTCTCTCTCTCTCTCTCTCTCAGAGCTGAAGAGAGCGGCCTGAAGGCAACCCAGACAAGACATTAGGATACTGTGTTTTTTTCCTCTTTATTTTTTTTGGTAAGATTTCTTTCTTTTTTTTTATTGGACAGGCAGATTTTTACAGAGAGAGCTTCCATCAGCTGGTTCACTCACCAAAACGGCCCGAGCTGAGCCTGCAGGAGCCGAGGGACTGGGTGGGAAGTGGAACCTGATGGCCTAGCCAAGACCAGCCCTCTCACCTCCGTGCGTCACATGGTAGAAGGGGCAAGGTGTACCTAGCACCACTTCCACACAACCGCCGTGGGCATCATCCCCCAGCGATGGGAACACACACACACACACACACACACACACAACACACCGGAATGAGAAAGAGCCACTAAGCAGGCCTCCCCCAGCCTGCTGTCATTACACACTTAGCTGGGACACCACATCTCACAGGAGCTGGTGAAGTCCCAGCTGCTCCACTTCCCATCCAGCTCCTTACTACTGCAGCTGGGAAAAGCAGACTTGAGCCCCTGCCATCCACATGGGAGACCCAAATGAAGTCCCAGGCTCCTGAACCCAGCCTCAGTGGGTTGTTGGAGCCATTCGGACAGTGAACCAGTGGATAGAAGACCTCTCTCTTTCAACTCTAATTCTGCCTTTCAAATAAAAATAAATGAAACAAATAATAATAATAACTAGAAGAACCAAGAAGCTATATATATTTTTAACAAAGATTTATTTTTTATTTTTATTGCAAAGTCAGATATACAGAGAGGAGCAGAGACAGAGAAGATCTTCTGTCCAATGATGCACTCTCCAAGTGACCACAAATGGCCAGAACTGAGCCAATCCTAAGCCAGCAACTTCCTCTGGGTCTCCCATGCGGGTTCAGGGTCCCAAGGCTTTGGGCCATCCTCGACTGCTTTCCCAGGCCACAAGCAGAGAGCTGGATGGGAAGTGGGGCTGCCAGGATTAGAACCAGCGGCCCTGTTTGTTTATCCCAGCACATTCAAGGCGAGGACTTTAGCCACTAGGCCACCACACCAGGCCCAGCTATAATTCTTTTAGTCCAGTGGGAAAGAGAACAGCATTTGGTAGGCTTTCATTCAGAGGCAGCTGTGCCAGCATCTCTGACACTGTATTTGAGATGGAGGGAGAGAGAGAGCAAGGGAGGGGGGCTTCCTCCACCACTGACAGGCAGAAGAGGCTGGCAAAGGGTGGGGAGGGGTGAGGCTGATCTTACACTTGCCCTCTACAAGCTGTCACTTGGGGCTGGCCGTGATGGCTGTCGTGTGGATTTCCAAGCTCAGCTGCCTGGTGTCCTGGTCAGGCGGCAGCGAGCCTGAGAGCTCGTGTGAGGCTGGTTCCAAGATCCCAGGGGATGACCGAGGCCAGGGCTGCGCCAAGATACAAGTCAGGAAGTCAGCGGGAAGATGAATGTCAAAGCCAGCTGGAGGAGTCAGGGCCCAGCCTGGCAGTTCAGACACCTGCAGCACACCCCAGCCTGCCTGGGTTTGATGCCAAGTCTGCCTCCCGGTGCCAAGCTTCCTGCCAACGCTGGCTCTGCGAGGCAGTGGTGGGGGACTCAGTTAAGCTGGGCCTCCGCCAGCAGATGGAGAAGGCCGGGACCTAATCCTCCCGCCTCCAGCTCCCTGCTTCAGCCTGCCCCCAACCCAGGCTCGATTGTTGTGGGCATCCGGAAAGGAACCAGGAATGTAGGAGCCCTCCCAGGTGTGTCTCGTTGCCTCCCTCGGAGAAATAAACTGGTATTTATGACAGCACATTCATAAGGGGGCTGGTGTTGTGGCCCAATGGGTTAAGCCGCCACCTGCACCCACTGGCATTCCATGTCGCATTGCTGGTTCAAGTCTTGGCTGTTCTGCCTCCTTGCTCCTGGTTCATGTGCCTGGCAAGGCAGTGGAAGATGACCCAAGGCCAACTGCTTGGGCCCCTACCACCCATGTGGGGAAACCCAGATAGGAGTTCAAGGCTTCTGGCTTCAGCCTGGCCTGGCCCTGGCCATTGTGGTCCTCTGTTCAAGATGTTTATTTTTGTGCAAAATCCGTGCTACTTTTGTCGTGATGTACACTTCTGGTGCGCCTGTTGGAGACCCCTGGCATGAGTGGATTTTTGACATTTCTTGGCCTGGCAGAGCTGCCAGCGGAGACATCTGCAGCCCGGATCTGAACACTTGGCTGCGAGTCCTGGCATCCTTCCCCACTGCGGCTTCCTGCGAACACGCGCCCTCGGGAGCAGCAGGGCCTAGCCCAACTGGCTCAACTCCTGCCACACACACGGTGCGGCCTGCATGCAGTTCCCAGCTCCTGACTTTGATCTGGCCCAGCCCTTGACCATGGTGGGCATTTGGGTCATGACCCAATGGAGGACAGCTCGCTCCCTCTCTTTTTTTTATCTGTGTGCCTCTCAAAATAAATCAAATAAACATTTAAAAAATAATTTGTTGGGCCCGGCGAGATAGCGTAGTGGCTAAGGTCTTGGCCTTGCACGCCCCAGGATCCCATATGGTCGCCAGTTCTAATCCCAGCAGCCCCACTTCCCATCCAGCTCCCTGCTTGTAGCCTGGGAAAGCAGTCGAAGACGGCCCAAAGCCTTGGGACCCTGCACCCGCATGGGAAACCAGGAAGAGCTCCTGGCTCCTGGCTTCAGATTGGCTCAGCTCCAGCCGTTGCTGCTGCTTGGAGAGTGAATCATCAGACGGAAGATCTTCCTCTCTGTCTCTCCTCCTCTCTGTATATCTGCCTTTCCAATAAAAATAAATCTTAAAAAAAAATTTTGTTCCCCCAAAAGAAGCTCATCTTGAATTCCTTTTTGCTCGAACTTCTTAAAGTACTCTAATATTTGCATGTAACTCACTCACATCCTCTCATTTAAATTATTCCTGGATTGGGACCAGTACAATGGCACAGCAAACTAAGCCTCCGCCTACAGAGCTGGCGTCCCTCATAGGCACCGGTTCAAGGCCCGGCTGTTCCCTTCTCTTGTCTCCATGATAATGGGCCTGGGAAAGCAGCAGAGAATGGCGCAAGTGCTTGGGGCCCTGCACCCACACTGGGAGAGCCGGAGGAAGTCCCAGGCTCTGGCTTTTAACCGGCCTAGCTGCAGCCATTTTAGCTATTTGGGAAGTGAGCCACGTGATGAAAGTGCTCTTTCTCTCATTATCTCTCTCTGCCTCTTCCCAACTCTGTAAATTTGCCTTTCAGATAAAACAAATATATGTTTTAAATCATATATGTTGAATGTTATATTTATATATAAATATATTAAATATGTATTTGAATTATATGAAATCTTTTCTATGAAATAAATTACATAATTTTCTATAATAAATAATAATACTACATTATATAAAATAAAATTATAATATATGATATATTAAATATGCATTATTATATGTTATATAATATAATAATAAAAAATTTATATGTAATATATAATAATAGTATGTGTGGTGTTATATTAATATGTTATAAAATAATATTGTAATTATATAATATATAATAATTATATATTATACATGTCGTAATATATCATATATAATATATTATATAATATATATATATATAAATTAAGTATGTATATATCCCTGGGACCCAGCGCAATGGCTCAATTGGCTAAATCCTTGTCTTACAAACACCAGGACCTCATACGGGCACTGGTTTGTGTCCCAGCTGCTCCACTTCCCCTCCAGCTCCCTGCTTGTGGCCTGGGAGGGCAGTGGAGGACAGCCCGAAGCCTTGGGACCCTGCACCCTCGTGGGAGACCTGGAAGAGGCTCCTGGCTTCAGATTGGCACAGCACCAGCCATTGTGGTCACTTGGGGAGTGAAACAAGAGATGGAAGATCTTTTTCACTCTATCTCTTTCTCTCTGTAAATCTGCCTTTCCAACATAAAATTTAAAAATCTTTAAAAATATTTTTTGTTCCAAAAAAATACATATTTTGTTCCTGGATTACTTTCCATACCCAATCCAGTTAGGTAAGTGAGCTGAACTCATAACACTCAGTAAGCCTGTCAGTGCTGAGCCGAGGGGAGGTGCGTCCACGCGTCAGCGCTCCCACCAAGCACAGACTGAGTGCCGCCCACGAGTGCAGCTCGGGGTGGAGGTGGGTCAGCAGGCGAGGCTTCCAGAAAACCCTAAACTTCCGGGGTCGGGGGGATGGCGGTTGGAGGGCAAGGTGCGCTGCCATGGCATCGCGGCCAAGCACCTCTGCCTAGTGCGTCATTTCATGACCAACCTTCTGTCGCCCACGCCCTCACAGCTCTCTCCCCTTCCCAGATCTATCTTTCAACAACATCGAGGTCATCGAGGGGCTGGACACCCTGGTGAACCTCGAGGACCTGAGCTTGTTCAACAACCGCATCTGCCGGATCGACTCCCTGGACGCGCTGGCCAAGCTGCAGGTGCTGTCGCTGGGCAACAACCAGATCGACAACATGATGAATGTGAGTGGGCAGGCCACATGGGACCGTGCGAATACACAGGCTCACAGGGACACACCTGCAGGCTCACAGGGACACACCTGCAGGCTCACAGGGACACACCTGCAGGCTCACACGGACACACCTGCAGGCTCACAGGGACACACCTGCAGACTCACACGGACACACCTGCAGACTCACACGGACACACCTGCAGGCTCACTGGGACACACCTGCAGGCTCACAGGGACACACCTGCAGGCTCACAGGGACACACCTGCAGACTCACACGGACACACCTGCAGACTCACACGGACACACCTGCAGGCTCACACGGACACACCTGCAGGCTCACACGGACACACCTGCAGGCTCACACGGACACACCTGCAGGCTCACACGGACACACCTGCGGGCTCACACGGACACACCTGCGGGCTCACACGGACACACCTGCGGGCTCACACGGACACACCTGCAGTCTCACACTCACGGGTGCAGGCTCACACGGACACACCTGCAGGCTCACAGGGACACACCTGCAGGCTCACACAGACACACCTGCAGGCTCACAGGGACACACCTGCGGGCTCACAGGGACACACCTGCGGGCTCACAGGGACACACCTGCCTGCTCACAGGGACACGCCTGCAGGCTCACAGGGACACACCTGCAGGCTCACACGGACACACCTGAAGGCTCACAGGGACACGCCTGCAGGCTCACACGGACACACCTGCAGACTCACACGGACACACCTTCCTGCTCCCACGGACACACCTGCAGGCCCACACAGACACACCTGCAGGCTCACAAGGACACACCTGCAGGCTCACACAGACACACCTGCAGGCTCACAGGGACACACCTGAAGGCTCACAGGGACACACCTGCAGGCTCACACGGACACACCCACAGACTCACACGGACACACCTGCGGGCTCACACGGACACACCTGCGGGCTCACACGGACACACCTGCAGACTCACACGGACACACCTGAAGGCTCACAGGGACACGCCTGCAGGCTCAACGGACACACCTGCCTGCTCACACGGACACACCTGCAGGCTCACAGGGACACACCTGCCTGCTCACACGGACACACCTGCAGGCTCACAGGGACACACCTGCCTGCTCACACGGACACACCTGCAGGCTCACAGGGACACACCTGCAGGTTCACACAGACACACCTGCAGGATCACACGGACACACCTGCCTGCTCACACGGACACACCTGCAGGCTCACACGGACACACCTGCGGGCTCACACGGACACACCTGCAGGCTCACATGGACACACCTGCCTGCTCACACGGACACACCTGCAGGCTCACTGGGACACACCTGCAGGTTCACACAGACACACCTGCCTGCTCTCACGGACACACCTGTAGGCTCACACGAACACACCTGCAGGCTCACACGGACACACCTGCAGGCTCACACGGACACACCTGCAGGCTCACACGGACACACCTGCAGGCTCACACGGACACACCTGCAGGCTCACACAGACACACCTGAAAGATCACACGGACACACCTGCAGGCTCAACGGACACACCTGCAGGCTCACACGGACACACCTGCGGGCTCACACTCACGGGTGCAGGCTCACACGGACACACCTGCAGGCTCACAGGGACACACCTGCAGGCTCACACGGACACACCTGAAGGCTCACACGGACACACCTGCAGGCTCACACAGACACACCTGCAGGCTCACATGGACACACCCGCAGGCTCACAGGGACACACCTGTAGGTTCACACGGACACCTGCGGGCTCACAGGGACACACCTGCAGGCTCACACGGACACACCTGCAAGCTCACACAGACACACCTGCAGGATCACACGGACACACCCGCAGGCTCACACTCACAGGTGCAGGCTCACACAGACACACCTGCAGGCTCACAGGGACACACCTGTAGGCTCACACTCACGGGTTTTGTGTTGATTTCGGTGGGCTCTTTCATAAGCGCAGGTACAGCTGAGCGGTCTGTCTCTCCACTTCCAAACCCCTTTCCCGACGTGCTAGACGATGAACTCTGTGCACAGGGGTTTGTTTGGGTCACCACAGTTCCTAGAACTGGTCATGGCCACCTGTAGCAGCCACCGTGATGGCAGTAGCTTCATTATTTCCTCTGAGTCTCAGGCTCATTCCACCCAGTGCTGGATGCACTTGACCCTTTTGTCTGTGGAGACCGGGATGTTCAAGCCTTGTTTCTCCATCCAGGAGGGGAGGGTTTTGACCAGCCCTAGGTGACAAGAAGGCCATGTCCCGTTGGTGCCAGGCTTACCATGTCTGTGTGACACTGACACAGCTGACTTCTGGAAAAGGCTGGCTGCCCCTGCACTCCCCACAGCAGGTTCCCAGCAGGCCGGTGCTGAGATACCTGTCGCTTGGAGGTAAGGGCCTGCATGCCCAAGGTGACCCAGCGAGGGCCTCCCCAGTTTGTGCCTGGCCATGCTCCAGCCTAGCCAACAACCCTGAGAGCTACCCAGAATTTCTGTCCAATGGCCTGTGCTGCCAATCCCAGCTGGCTTAGGTGGACAGCATGTAAGTCTGGTACTGGTGGCAAGGCAGTCTTGGCAGATGCAGGTCTATATGGGGGTCATCATCCCTGTCCAGCATCCCCCCCTTTGTACCTCCTCACCCCTGCAATGGCTGGGGAGACCCAGCACTGAGTGAACAGATGGCTGGGGACTCGTGGAATGGACGTTGCTGCTTTGTGGTTGTTCTGAGCACTCAGCATGCAGAGTGGCCAGCGCATGGGGTGAGGCTCTTGGTTTCTTGTCCTCTTTTTATTTTTTAAAAAGATTTATTTATTTTTATTGGAAAGTCAGATATACAGAGAGGAGGAGAGACAGAGAGAAAGATCTTCCGTCTGATGATTCACTTCCCAAGTGAGCGCAACGGCTGGAGCTGAGCCAATCTGAAGCCACGAGCCAGGAGCTCTTCCGGGTCTGCCACACAGGTGCAGGGTCCCAAGGTTTTGGGCCGTCCTCGACAGGCCACAAGCAGAGAGCTGGATGGGAAGCGGGGCCGCCGGGATTAGAACCGGCACCTGTATGGGATCCCAGGCGTGCAAAGCGAGGACTTTAAACACTATGCTATTGTGCTGGGTCCAAAAAACTTAGAATTTTTTTAAAAATGTATTTATTTCAACGGGAGAGAGAGATAGAGGGAGGGATGGAAAGAGGTCTTCCATCTGCTGGTTCACTCTCCAGCCAGGCCTGGACTAGCCTTAAACTAATAGTCTGTGACTCCATCTGAGCATCCCATCCTCTGCTGCTTTCCCAGGTGCATTAACATGCAGTTAGATGGGAAGTGGAGCAGCTAGGATTCTCTCCTGTGCCCATCTTGGATGCCTACACCGCAGGCAGAGGCTTAAGCTAACATGCCACGGTGCCAAACCCACAGGAGATCTCTTCATTAGACCTTAGCGTGCCCGTGGCTCCCATTGTCCTTGGAGGAAACTGACCACAGCCTGCGTGGTCTCTCATGACCCAGCTCCTGGCCTTGCCCAGTCAGATCCAGGCCTCCCCCATCCTGGCCGAGTTCTTCCTGCTGTGCACTGGGTTCCTGTTCTGGTGACCCCTCCTCTCACTGGTGGGTACTGTCAGTTCTGAGTTGCTTTGTTTTTTAAGGTTGATTTATTTTTATTAGAAAGGCAGAGTTATAGGAAAAAGGAGAGAGAAAGATCTTCCATCCACTGGATCACTCCCCAAGTGGCCGCAACGAGATGACCCTGTATTAAAGCCTGGAGATTCTTCCAGGTCTCCCACACAGGTGCAGGGTCCCAAGGCTTTGGGCCGTCCTTGACTATTTTCCCAGGCCACAGGCAGGGAGCTGGATGGGAAGTGGAGCAGCTGGGATATGAACCCGCATGCACAGGGGAGCCCAGCTCATGCAAGGCGAGGGCCCTGTCAATGTGGTTTTTAGCTTTCTCTGCCCACCTTCCTCCCCTAACTCCCACCCCAGCAGGGTGTCCTGCTGGTGGGCGGGTCACAGGTGGCTGCTCATGGAGCACCATTTGGTGAAGAGACATAGAACATTCATGAAGCTTCATGGTTGCAAAGAACACCCTGCTCCAAGGACCCACGGATGCAGACAGCCAGGGGCAGCAGCCACACAAGCCCCAAGGACCGGCCCTTCGTGGGGAGACGTCGCTCACAGCTTAGTCCTTTGGGGCTCTCTTAGCGACACCCCTAAGCCCACAGTAACCCCGACAGCCCTGCACCTCATCTCCAGGGCCTGAGAGTGCCTGCCTGGGGCAGGTGTATGTGTGCGTGGGAGGGTTCCAGGAATGTGGCAGCCGCAACGCGGGGTCCCTCCCCTCCATACTCCACATGCAGCTCCTCTACCTGCGGAGGTTCAAGTGCCTGCGGACGCTCAGCCTGGCCGGGAACCCGGTGGCCGAAGCGGAAGACTACAAGATGTTCATCTACGCCTACCTGCCCGACCTTGTGTACCTGGACTTCCGCCGCATCGACGACCACATGGCACGTGCCCTTGGCCCCGGCCCCGGGGGTCCAGCGCCGGGCCTCCCTCTGGGCATCTTGGGGGCCCAGCGCTAGGCTACCCTGTGGGCATCGCCTCGAGGTGCAACGTGGCCCTGCAGCCCGGAGTCTGGTTCACTTAGGGGAAGCAGGGGAGAGGGCTCAGCGGGAAGCCAGGCTTAACTTCCGTCCAACCCCTGCCCCCCGTTAGCCAACTGTTGTTAGGCGCTTATCAAACCAGGCCCATGGCGTGGATCTGACCCCAAGCCAGGACCCCAGGGGAGGGGCTGGCCCGCCCGCTGGGGTGACTCTCCCAGCAGAATCTCCCTCTCACCCCTTGGTGCCCACAGCCCGGGGCTCCCAACTGCCCTTCCCCCCTGCCTCCACCTCCCCTTTTCTTCAGCTGTGCATTGTGATCTGGGGGTGGAGAAAAGAAAGATCTGGTCCCATTTGCGAGGCCTTGGGGGCGGGACCGGGGTGGGAACACACACGCACATGCCTACACACGCACATACACATGCGCACGTGTGCACAATTGCGCACGCACGTGCACACACACACGCCGCGGGCGTGGCCCCTGGGTGCTGCCGGCGACTGATACCTCTCCGTGGAGGCACACATAGAGATGTGGTGACGTCAGTCGGTCCTCCTCCATCTGCGAGCTCTTCTTCTCACAGGACCTGAAGCCGAGGCAGTGTTATTTATTTATTCCTCTGTAAGGCAGAAACAGAGAGAGAGAAATCTTGCATGTTTGCAAGTGCTTTTTTGTTCCCCTGCATGGCCACAACAGCCAAGGCTGGGCCAGGCTGAAGCCAGGAGCCTGGAGCTCCATCTGGGTCTCCCACGTAGACGCAGGGACCCCGGCACTTGAACATCTGCCGCTGCTTTCGCAAGCACATTCGCAGGAAGCTGGATGGGAAGTGGGCAGCTGGGACTTAAACTGAAGCCCACCATGTGAGATGTCAGCATTTCAGGCAGCCGACAGAGGCAGCATCGTGGGCAAGTTATTTGGGACTCTCACATCCTATATCAGAGTCCCAGCTGAGGCTCCGCCTCCAAGGACTAGGATGCTGTAGCATAGTGTGAGCTGTGGTTGGGCGCCTCACTGCCCTGGAAACAAACGAAGGCTCCTCTCCTGAGGCAGGCCTTCGCCTGGAGTCAGAGCCTTGCACCACGCAGGGGCACCTGCACCAACCCCACCCCACCGTCCACAAGGATCTCTGCCCTGGAGCCTGTCGCAGCCCATCCAAGAGCTGGGATGGGGTGCAGTGGGGGCGGGAAGGACAGCTGGCCCTTGCCCTTGGCAACCAAGACCCCCAAAGACAGGCCCCTAAGGGGTCATCCCAGCTGTTTAATTCCTCTTGCACCAGAATGCACGAGCCCTTCTCCCTCCCATGCCCTCACAGCCTCAGAAAGGGACTTGGCCAACCCCTGCCAATCACACTGCCAGGACAGTGTGTGTGTGTGTGGGGGGGGGGGTCCTGCATGACTACGCCCTGGGGATAGGGTGGGGTGGGGGGAAGAAGAATCAGTGAGCCCTGGTAACGCCGTCACCCCACCTTCCCCGGTCAGAGAGAGCTGGCAGAGGCCAAGCACCAGTACAGCATTGACGAGCTGAAGCACCGGGAGAACCTGACACAGGCCCGGCTGGAAGCTGAGCAGGAGCAGCGCGAGGAGCTGGAGGCGCACAAGGTGGGTCCCTGTCCTCAGGGACCCCGGGGTGGGGGTGGGGGTATCCCAGCAGCCACGGTGCCTTCCAGCACATGGCAGCTCCCTCCGCTGCACCCCTGGCCCTGCCTGCTCCCTGGCACCCTGACCCTCAGCGCTCGCTCCAGAGGCCAGGGGCGGGATGGGAGGGCTGCAGAGGTGGTGCTGCACGCTATCACCACAGGGTGATGGAATAACTCCTGCCCATGCATGGCATCCCCCGCCCCTCACCCCAGGAACAGCCCCAAGTTCAGCCTGGCCCTGCACCCTTGCTGGCCAACCTCTCTCCCACTGAGCCCCGCCCCTCCAGGCAGCCAGTCCCTACCACGTGGGAGGTTGCAGCTCTGAGAATCCAAGTGTCAGCCCCGGCTGTGGGCCCTGCCCTGGGAACCTTCTTTCCAAAGCCTTACATAGGCCTGCGGTGGAGGCATCCCATGTGGGTGTGCTCCACCTCCCATCCTGCACCCTGCTGATGCGCCTGGGAAAGCAGCAGAGGATGCCTTGATTCCCACCCTGCACCCCCCAACCTCCAAGGGCAACTTCCCCAGCAGTGGCACCGCTGTCCCCTCCCTGGTGCCCTGGCACCGAGGTCACCATGCCACCTCCATGTGTCTGCCTGCAGGCAGCCTTCGTGGAGCACCTCAACGACTCCTTCCTGTTCGACAGCATGTACGCCGAGGACGTGGAAGGCAACAAGCTGTCCTACCTGCCCGGCGTCGGGGAGCTGCTTGAGACATATCCTTGCCCGGGCTGTCCCTGCCTCCTCTGCTGGAGCCTGTTAGGGAGAACCTGCTTCCCGGCCGGCTTTGGGCCTTGGATGCATCATCTTGTGATGTGACCCCCCGGCTGAGTGGAGGCCCCCTTTGTGGGAGCAATGGTACCAGCCTGCAGGATGCACAGTCTGCCGAGCTCCGAGGAGGAGACGTAGCAGGGGACACCCTCGAGGGAGCTGGGGTAGCCTGGCACAGGTGGGGTTTCCGAGCTGGATCTTCAGCGGCAAGGTAGATGTTCTGATGCCTCACATTACCAGCCACGCTCTCTTTGCTGTGGTTTGCTGTGTTCTCACTTGCTGCATTTTCTCTTTAAGATTGAGTTGTTTACTTAAAAGGCAGTGTGACAGAGATCTTCTGTACACTGGCCACAAAAGCCAGGGCTGGGGCCCGGCGCGGTGGCGCAAGTGGTTAAAGGTCCTCGCCTTGCACGCCCGGGATCCCATATGGGCGCCGGTTCTAATCCCGGCAGCCCCGCTTCCCCTCCAGCTCCCTGCCTGTGGCCTGGGAAAGCAGTCGAGGACGGCCCAAAGCTTTGGGACCCTGCACCCTCGTGGGAGACCCAGAAGAGGCTCCTGGCTTCGGATCGGCATAGTATCGGCCCGTTGCGCTCACTTGGGGAGTGAATCATCGGACGGAAGATCTTCCTCTCTGTCTCTCCTCTCTGTATATCCGCCTTTCCAATGAAAAAATAATAAAAATAAATCTTTAAAAAGCCAGGGCTGGTCCAGGCCTGTGTTAGAAGTCTGGCACTTCCTCTGGGTCTCACACGTGGGTTCAGGGACCCATGCTGCTTTCCAAGGTGCATTGGCACGGAGCTGGGTGGGAAGTGGAGCAGCCGGGACTTGAACCAGTGCCCTGTATGGGATGCCAGTACTTCAGATTATAGTTTGCTTTTCTTTCTCTCTCTTCCTCCCTCCCTCCTTTCCTTCCTCTTTTCTTCCTTCCTTCTTTTCTCCTTTTTTTTTCCCCAAGCTGCTAAAATTGACTTAAAGGTAAGGAACTCACAGACACACATGCACCACATTAGGGACCACGTGGGCAGCAAGAGGACAGGTGTGAGACAGAACGTGTTCCTGGCTTCATCTTGTGACCACGTCCTTGCTTTGCCTCCTTCTGCTCTGCCCCAGGGCCTCTTCCTGTGGTCCCCAGCTCTGTGTCCCAGCAGAGTGCCAGGAGTTGGGGGCCGGGGCTCTACCCACTGCACTCTGAACGCTAGCCTCCAGCCCTTCTTCTGTCAGCTGAAAACCTGGATTCAAGTCCTGCAGGCGTGGCTCTGCATAGCACGCCCTGGCTGGTGGCAGACCACCCACCCCCGCCCTCATCAGCCCCACGCTTCCTTAATGGGCTCCTCACCTACAAGGACAAGTTCGTCATCATCTGCATGAACATTTTCGAGTACGGCCTAAAGCAGCAGGAGAAGCGGAAGGCGGAGTTGGACACCTTCACCGAGTGCATTAAGGAAGCCATCTGGGATAACCAGCAGCAGGGCAGGCTCCGCATCGCCCAGTTCGAGGAGAAGCATCTGCTGGTAGGGTTCCCGCCCCTCCCCTTCTGACCACACCCCAACCACAGCATGGCCATCCATCGCCGTCAGCGACCATCAGCCCTGGCGCGGGGGAGATGGGGACAGCGACTCCTCCCGCCCCCTGTTCTCCTCTTGTTCATTCACCATCCAGGACCTGATGCCCAGGCTCCGCTGGGTGGGCCTTCCTGCCACCTGTTAAGGGAGGAGCTGGGAGTGAGTGCAGAGGGTGCTGCCGGCCTTGGTGGGTGAGGGGTGGCTCTGAACTGGAGCCGAGCCCCGCAGCCCACTCTGGGGTGCAGTAGGGCCAAGTAGGCGATTGGTTATTGATGGGTTATTTGATGGAATTTGCCCTTGTAGTGAGCGTGACTTTTTGTTTCTTTTCGTTAATGAAAAGATTTATTGGTTGATTTCAAAGTCACAGTGAGAGGGAGAGAGAAGCATCTTCCATCCGCTGGTTCACTCTCCAAATGGCATCAATAGCCAGGCGGGAGGAGCCACTTTCTTTGAACCAGTGAGTGAACACGATGGACAGAAGGAAAGGGGAGGGAAGACAGGAACACCAGAGGCCAGCACAGCCCGCTGTACTCAACCCTGGGCGTGAGGCACCGGCACAAATGTTCATCACTGCTGGGAGCTAGAACGACAGAAGAGGGGCTGGCATGGGGGCTCAGCAGGCTAACCCTCCACCTGCAGCGCCACCGGCCACAATGGGCATGGGTGTGTGTCCCAGCTGCTCCACTCACTTCCTGTCCAGCTCCCCACTTAGGATCTGGGAGAACAGCAGAGCAGGACCCCATCTCCCCTCCCCTGAACACTGCCCCTTCGCCCTGTGGATGATTTTGAGGTAAAGATACTTAACAGCTGTGGGTGCAGAAAGCTTCTCTCTCTCTCTCTCTCTTTTTTTTTTTAAAGATTTATTTATTTTTATTGCAAAGTCAGATTTACAGAGAGGAGGAGAGACAGAGAGGAAGACCTTCCATCCGATGATTACTCCCCAAGTGACCACAACGGCTGGTGCTGTGCCGATCCAAAGCCAGGAGCCCAGATCCTCTTCCGGGACCACGCAGGTGCAAGGTCCCAAGGCTTTGGGCCGTCCTCGACTGCTTTCCCGGGCCACAAGCAGGGAGCTGGATGGGAAGCAGAGCTGCCGGAGTTAGAACCAGCGCCCAATTAGGATCCTGGCGCATTTAACGCGAGGACTTTAGCTGCTAGGCCATGGTGGCGCCCCTCCCCCCCAGCCCTTTTAAAACCTGATAACAACAGTTGAAAGTCCCATGACAACAAGTGTGCCCTTTCCCCTCCTGACCCACCCTGCTGTACCCAGCAATGAGAGCTGTGGCCTCGGGCCTCCACCCGTCTCTACCTGTCCCTTCCACAGCGTGGCCCGCCCCGGCTTCATCTGCACTTTTCTGTCATTTTCACCACGCATGGCTCTTTGTGTAATTCAACGTCTGAGTTTCCGGCCCTAACCCAGCCACTCTGGCACTGTGGTCTCAGACAAGCCAAGTATCCAACCTGTGAGAGAGAAATTTCTGGGGCCAGCGTTGTGGGGGAGCAGCTGAAGCTGCCACCTGCAGTGCCAGCATTCCGTGTGCACGCTGGTGCGTGTCCTGGCTGCTCCACGTCCCACCAAGCTCCGTACTGATGCACTTGGAAAGGTGTAGGTGCCTTACACCCACCTGCGGCCCCCACCTCCCTCTGAAACTTCAGCACATGCACCATGGCCAGTAGCTCTTGATTTAACGGGGTTATTGATAAAGATTTATTTGTTGGAAAAATGAGGTTATAGAGGAGGGGGGAGAGAGAGAGATTTTTACCTCTTGGTTCATGCTCTACAACATCTGGGGCTGGGCCAGACCTAAGCCAGGGGCCAAGAACTTCTTCTGGGTCTTTTTACATGGGTGCAGGGGTCAAAATACTTGGGTCATCTTCTGTTGCTTTCCCTGGAGCATTAGCAGGAAACTGGGTTATAAGTGGAGCAGCTGGGACTCGAACCGACGCCCATACAGGATGGCAGCACTACAGGCAGGGGGCTTAGCACACTATGCCACCACACCGGCCCCAAGGAGAAGTTGCTTTGTACAAGCTCAGAGAGCCAGGCAGCAGACAGCAAAGCAGAGACTTGACCTTGGTGTCTAAGGTCTTCCCCCCCACCCCCGGGCCGGGAAGCGACCGCAAGCTGTGGCTGTGGTTCCCAGAGCGTGAGCAGCATCCGGGAGGAGTCGGAGCTGCCCAACGTGGAGAAGAAGATCGCGGAGTGCAGCCAGGACATCGCCGAGCTGTCCAACGCGCTCATGACCCTGGAGATGCAGCTGGTGGAGCAGCTGGAGGTGAGGCCCCGCCCCCCAGCCCCCCAAATTGGGCACCTGCCCAGCCGATCACAGTGTTAGCTTTGTATCCGTGTTAATGATCCTGATGCAACGTGAAGCCCCTCCCCGTGAAGCCCCTCCCCACCCCGTATCGTGTTCTCTCCCCCGCCTGGTCCTGGGCTGCTGGGGGCAGGGGCATTTCAGATCCCACTCCAGGAACTGTCTCCTCACACCCCCCAACCCCCAGCCATCCTCCCCGACTCCCCAACTTGCTGACCAAAGACCACCCATGTAGGGGTGACGTGAGGCATTTACCACTCAAGGCTCTCAGTGGAACTGTATTTTTAAAAAGATTTATTTATTTTTACTGGAAAGGCAGACTTATAGAGAGGAGGAGAGACAGAGAGGAAGATCTTCCATTCCCCAAATGGCTGCAACAGCCAGAGCTGAGCTAATCTGAAACGATGAGCCAGAAGTCTCTTCTGGGTCTCCCATGCAGGGTGCAGGGTCCCAGGGCTCTGGGCCGTCCTCGACTGCTTTCCCAGGCCACAGGCAGGGAGCTGGATGGGAAGCGGAGCTGCCGGGATTAGAATTACTGGCACCTAGATGAGATGCCAACACTATAGTCAGTGGCTTTACCCGCTGCAGCACGGGTGCCACTGAGGAGCCGGGAGGGATGGGTGAGCCCTGTGAGTGTGTGTGCTGGTGGTGGGGTGAGCAAGGCTGGGACAGGTGGGCCTGGCAGAGGACAACAGCATTAAACTACCGAGAGGTGAGGTGGTGCAGGGACCGGGGAGCATCAGGGCTCCAGAATAGGGGAGCACTGGGACAGTCACAGCCGGTGGCTTCAGCCCTGAGGGAGCGGCTTGTGCTAGGGTCTGGCGTCTCAAGTCTCCGTGATGACCGGTGGCTGTGTTATCTCCCCAGGAGACCATAAACATGTTTGAAAGGAACATCATGGACCTGGTGGGGCTCTTCATTGAGAACGTCCAAAGTCTATATCCTGCTGTCCTGGGAGCTGGTGGGCACTGAGGGGGTAACTGCTAAAGCTCCTGGCAACCTAAGCAAGGGAGAGTGCAGATAGCTGGGCGCCCTGGAAGGGCCCGTGCTCTCCTCTCTGCCAGAGTCCTAAGCCTTGGGGTTTTAGTGGGAGACTCAGTGCCCTAAGTACTTCCCACTAAATAACCTAAACCCTCCCACCCAGTCCTCATGCCCCTCCCACCCAGTGCTCTAGGCCCCTCCCACCCAGCCCTGCCTCGCCCACCCGGTGCCCTAGGCCCCTCCTATCCCATCCCCTCCCTTCCCACCCAGTGTCCTAGGCCCCGCCCATCCAGTGCCCTGCCCCTCCCACCCAGTCCCCCTGCTCCTCCCACCCAGTGCCCTAGGCCCCTCCCACCAGCCCCCTGCCCCTGTCACCCAATCTTCATGCCCCTCCCACCCAGTCCTCATGCTCCTCCCACCCAGTGCCCTAGGCCCCTCCCACCCAGTCCCCCTGCTCCTCCCACCAGGTGCCCTAGGCCCTGCCCACCAGGTGCCCTGCCCCTCCCACCCAGTCCCCCTGCTCCTCCCACCCAGTGCCCTGCCCCTCCCACCCAGTCTCCCTGCTCCTCCCACCCAATCTTCATGCCCCTCCCACCCAGTCCTCATGCTCCTCCCACCCAGTGCCCTAGGCCCCTCCCACCCATTCCCCCTGCTCCTCCCACCCAGTGCCCTGCCCCTCCCACCCAGTCCCCCTGCTCCTCCCACCCAGTCCCCCTGCTCCTCCCACCCGGTGCCCTAGGCCCCGCCCACCCAGTGCCCAGTGTCCACCTGTGGTGTTTACAGAGCCCTAAAACCACCTTCACAGGAAGTGGGTTGGTCACCAGAGTGGGGCGTCCGCGTGGGGACCCCGCTGATGGCAGTTGAGTGCTGCCCCTCACGCCGTCCTCACGTGGGTGTGAGAGCAGCTGGAAGGCTCCAGAGCTTGGGACCTGAGGCCTACCTCACGGCCCGCTGCTGAGACGGGGTAGTGGGATAAGGGGAGTGGCGGACTGGAGGGCCAGGCCAGGGCTGGTCGTGCCCAGGGCCTTTCACTTGACTCCGGGGCTGCACAATGGCCCAGTGCCGGGACCTGGAGAACCACCACCATGAGAAGCTGCTGGAGACCTCCATCAACACCCTGGAGAAGATAGTCAAGGGCGAGCTGGATGACGACCTGCCGGACGACGTGCGTGCGGTGAGCGGGGCTGCCAGGAGAAGGTGTGGCTTCTGGCTCTTGTTTGCAAACAGGGCTCTTTGCTGGCGTGGCAGCGACTTGCAGCCGCCTGGAAGGCTCCTAGGTCCTGGGTGGGAGTGGTCCACCCAGCAGCCATCTCTGGTATCTGTGGCAGGAAGCCAGAGCAGGCAGCGTTTCCTGGCCGGTCACAGTCACTCCACGGCCCGACTCCAGGCTGTGCGTCCTCACCTCCATCCCCTGCGTCCAACCACACAATGGCCCTCCAGTCAACAGAGGTCTTGGCTGGCACTGCCCACTGCCTGTTTCCTGCGAATCCTAGAGCAAGGTGTCCCTGCAGCCCATTAGATTGCCTCAGCAGCCCACCCTACCATGCCCGGCGCCCTGGCTCCCAGGGGTCCCATCTGTGCACCCAGCTCCTGAGTGGCTGTGTCTCACATCACCTTCCTAAGGAACCCAGCTGTCCTCCACTGGTGCACCCCCCCCCCCAGGTGGCCACATGGCCAGGCTGGGCCAGGCCCTGAGCAAAGACGGGCAGTAAGCGATTGGGGCAGCTTCACTTCCTATGCCACAGTACCAGTCCCAGGCTAATTTTTTTTTTTTAAAGATTTATTTTTATTATTTTTTCATTGGAAAGGCAGATATACAGAGAGGAGAGACAGAGAGGAAGATCTGCCGTCCGATGATTCACTCCCCAAGTGAGCGCAACGGCCGATACTATGCCGATCCGAAGCCAGGAGCCTCTTCTGGGTCTCCCACACGGGTGCAGGTTCCCAAAGCTTTGGGCTGTCCTCGACTGCTTTCCCAGGCCACAAGCAGGAAGCTGGAAGGGAAGCGGGGCTGCCGGGATTAGAACCGGCGCCCATATGGGATCCTGGGCGTGCAAGGCGAGGACTTAACCACTTGCGCCACCGCGCCGGGCCCCCAGGCTAATTTTTAAATTGAGCATTTTTTTTTTTGGAGGGGTGATGGCCTACAAATGTTCTGTGATCATTATGCAAGTGGCCCTTGGCAGAGAAAAAGTCCCCCACTGCTGCCTGGCCTGGGGGGGCAGCGGACAGCAGCCCGCACACTTGGCTGCCCCCTGCCAAGGGCGGAGTTCCCGACTGCTGCCTTCAGCCTGATTCTGCCAGCCCCCAGGCCTTTGGCGGCTACCTGTTTCTCCCCCTGCCTTTCAAGCAGATGAAAACAACTGATGAAGATGAACCCACACACGAGGGCGCTGTGACTCCATTTGCCTCCCCACACCACAAATGACAAATGACATTCTGGTGATTTTGGCAAGAGACAGTCCCCCCCCACCCCCAGCAAGCCAATAGGCAGAACTGAAGTGTCCCGCGTCCGACTTCTGGAGCTACCGAAAAAGTCCAGAGCAATGGACCACGTCCTCCTAACACCCTTAGGCCTGATGGCCTGAGGCATCCCCTAACCAAATGGCACCCCCTCTTTTCCTAAGCAGGTTCAGCCGCATGGGTTTGCACTTTTCTCGCTTTTCTCGTGGCCTGCTCTCCTGCACTCCAGCCCCGAGGGATGGCAGCTCCGCCTGGCTGTGGGGAACAGCGGGGCTACCGGGATTAGAACTGGCGGCCATATGGGATCCTAGTGCTTGGAAGGCAAGGACTTTAGCCACTAGGCTACTGCACTGGGCCTTTTTTTTTTTTTTTTTTAAGCATTTTTTATTTGAAAGACAGAGACCACACGACAAACAAGATTTTCCATATACCGGATCACTCCTCCCCAGTTCCTGTCCACACAGTGCCCACAATTGCCCCAGCCGCTCGGGCTGCACCAGACCAAAGCCAGGAGCCCGGGGCCTCAATCCGGATCTCCCACGTGGGTGGCAGGGGCCCAAGCACTCAGCCATCGTCTGCACTGCCCGGAGTGCACATGAGCAGGAAGCCAGAGAGGAGCTGGAGCAGGTGGGACTAACCAGACACTCCAGTGTGGAGTGTGGCCGTCCCAGCAGGTGGCATGGGCCTCTTGTCATGCTGAGAAGGAACTCTTGTTTCTCCCCATCATGCTGACCTCGAGTCTCCATGGTGGCAGCTGACCGGCTTTCTCGCCCCGCCTGGGGATGCTGTGGCATGCGTTACTCTGAGAAAGGGTTCCTGTGTGCTGGGCTCCCCCAGACAGCTTGCTGGAGCAGACTGCACAGAGTGTTCAGATGGACCGAGAGTGGGGCACACACTCCCCCAGACCTCTCTGATCTGCTCTGGCCACAAGGTATTTTGGCCAAAAGGCGAGCCATCTCAGGGTGGACAAAACCTATTGTGGGGACCACTGAAGTCCACGTCTGCCATGGCAAAAACCGAAAGAACACACACAGTGGGCACTGCCCCCTGGTGCTGTGCATAGCACAAAAGCCAGGAGTCCTTTGAGTCTCCTCCTCGAGCGGCAGGGTCCCAAGGCTTTGGGCCGATCTCCAGTGTTGGTCCAGGAACATCAGCACGGCCCCAGCTTGGAAGCTGAGGCACTGGGATTCACAGCACCCCAGGACGGGACACAGGGCCCCAAACAACCTGCTATGCCACAATGCCGGGCCCAGGCATATCTGTTTTAAACAGTTTAAAGGCAGAGCAGGGCCCAGCACGGTAACCTAGCAGCTAAAGTCCTCACATTATAAGGACCGAGATCCCGTATGGGCGCCAGTTCTAATCCCAGTGGCCCTGCTTTCCATCCAGCTCTCCGCTTCTGGTTTGGGAAAGCAGTCGAGGACGGCCCAAAGCCTTGGGACCCTGCACCCATGTGGGAGACCTGGAAGAGGCTCCTGATTGGCACAGATCTGGCCGTTGCAGCCACTTGGGGACTGACTCAGTAGACGGCAGACTTCTCTGTCTCCCTCTGTATATTACTTTCATAAAATAGTCTTATTATGAAAGTCAGATATACAGAGAGGAGGAGAGACAGAGAAGATCTTTCATCCCATGATTCACTCCCCAAGTGAGTACAACGGCCGATGCTATGCTGATCTGAAGCCGGGATCCAGGAACTTCTTCTGGGTCTCCCACATGGGTGCAGGGTCCCAAGGCTTTGGGTCGTCCTTGACTGCTTTCGCAGGCCACAAGCAGGGAGCTGGATGGGAAGTGGAGCAGCCGGGATTAGAACCGGCTCCCATATGGGATCACGTGGCATTCAAGGTGAGGACTTTAGCCGCTAGGCCACGCCGCCGGGCCCTCCAATAAAAATAAATCCTAAAAAAATAAATACATAAAAATAAAGGCGGAGCAGCAGAGGGCCTGCTCTTGCTGCTTTACTCCCCCCAGGTGGAGCTGGAGCCCCATCCAGGTGTCGGTTTCCAGCAGGTGGGGCAGCAGCCCGCAACTTGAGCCCTCCCAGGGTCTGCCGTGTTCAGGTTTGGCGACACAGGCGTCCCGTTGTGCCCAATGTCATTCCCCTAGCAGCTTTTTATATAACAGCAACAGACCACAAGGTCAGAACAAGAGCAGGCGACAGGAAGCCCCCACTGGATTCTGAGGTTCGATGCCGCTGCTCAGAGGCTGTCACAGGGAGCCAGGGAGGCCTGTCAGCGCCCTAGACGCTGGGAAGCGACATCCCTGCGCCAGGCCACCTGCCTCCGGTCTGTGCCAGGGACGTGGGGACTCACAGCTCCTGCCTCTGCTTTCTCACCAGCTGTTTGTGGACAAGGACACGGTCGTGAACGCTGTCGGGGCATCGCACGACATTCACCTCCTCAAGATTGACAACCGGGAGGACGAGCTGGTGACCAGGATCAACTCCTGGTGCACACAGCTGCTGGACAAGGTGAGGGGAGGCCGACCGGGCCGGGGTCGCGGAGGAGTGAGCCGGGGTCAGGGAGGAGCAGGCCGGGGTTGGGGAGGAGCGGGCCGAGGAGGAGCAGCGGGCCGGGGAGGAGCGGGCCGGGGAGGAGCAGCGGGCCGGGGAGGAGCAGCGGGCCGGGGGCAAGGAGGAGCGGGCCGGGGAGGAGCAGTGGGCCGAGGAGGAGCAGCGGGTCGGGCCGGGGAGGAGCAGCGGGCCGAGGAGGAGCAGCGGGCCGGGGGGCGAGCAGTGGGCCCGGGGCAAGGAGGAGCGGGCCGGGCCGGGGAGGAGCGGCGGGCCGGGGGCGAGGAGGAGCGGGACGGGGAGGAGCAGCGGGCCTGGGCGAGGAGCAGTGGGCCGGGGTCGGGGAGGAGCGGGTCGGGGAGGAGCAGCAGGCCGGGGAGGAGCGGGTCGGGGAGGAGCGGGCCGGGGTCGGGGAGGAGCAGCGGGCCGGGGTCGGGGAGGAGCAGTGGGCTGGGGTCGGGGAGGAGCGGGCCGGGGAGGAGCAGCGGGCCGGGGAGGAGCAGGCGGGGTCGGGGAGGAGCGGGCCGGGGAGGAGCAGCGGGCCGGGGAGGAGCAGGCCGGGGTCGGGGAGGAGCGGGCCGGGCCGGGGAGGAGCAGCGGGCCGGGGTCGGGGAGGAGCAGCGGGCCGGGGTCGGGGAGGAGCAGTGGGCCGGGGTCGGGGAGGAGCGGGCCGGGGAGGAGCAGTGGGCCGGGAGGAGCAGCGGGCCGGGGTCGGGGAGGAGCAGCGGGCCGGGGTCGGGGAGGAGCAGCGGGCCGGGGTCGGGGAGGAGCAGCGGGCCGGGGTCGGGGAGGAGCGGGCCGGGGAGGAGCAGTGGGCCGGGAGGAGCAGCGGGCCGGGGAGGAGCAGCGGGCCTGGGCGAGGAGGAGCGGGCCGGGGGAGGAGCAGCGGGCCGGGGAGGAGCAGCGGGCCGGCTCCTCCTGGCCATGCAGAGGAGGGCGAAGCCCAGTGGGGACGGCTTCAGGATGCTGAAGGACCCCAAGTTCTGGCATCGGTGCTCAGATTCACAAGGACGAGATCACGAGGAACCGCAAGCGCGTGAGGGAGATCAACCAGTACGTCGACCACATGCAGAGAGAGCTGGAGAGCCTGGAGAGCGGCGACGTGGAGTAGGGGGCTCGGCGACGTGGAGTAGGGGGCTCGGCGACGTGGAGTAGGGGGCTCGGCCACGGGGGTGGGGGGGCCAGGCGCCCGAGGGCTCCCAGCCGCCCGCCGCCCCCTGGGGCCAAGCATCCACACACAGGAACCATTAAAGGGCTGAGCCACCAGGCTTCCCAGTTCGCCAGTGAAGGGGAGGGGATGTCAGATGTGCCCAGGTGTGGGCGGAGCCTGAGTCCTGTGGGTGCTGAGGGGGGGCCTGCAGGTGTGGGCGGAGCCTGCAGGTGTGGGCGGAGCCTGGGCCCCGTGGGTGCTGAGGGAGGGCCTGCAGGTGTGGGCGGAGCCTGCAGGTGTGGGCGGAGCCTGGGCCCCGTGGGTGCTGAGGGAGGGCCTGCAGGTGTGGGCGGAGCCTGGGCCCCGTGGGTGCTGAGGGAGGACCTACAGGTGTGGGCGGAGCCTGCAGGTGTGGGCGGAGCCTGGGCCCCGTGGGTGCTGAGGGCGGGCCTGCAGGTGTGGGCGGAGCCTGGGCCCCGTGGGTGCTGAGGGGGGGCCTGCAGGTGTGGGCGGAGCCTGGGCCCCGTGGGCCCCGTGGGTGCTGAGGGAGAGCCTGCAGGTGTGGGCGGAGCCTGGGCCCCGTGGGTGCTGAGGGAGGACCTACAGGTGTGGGCGGAGCCTGCAGGTGTGGGCGGAGCCTGGGCCCCGTGGGTGCTGAGGAGGGCCTGCAGGTGTGGGCGGAGTCTGAGCCCTGTGGGAGCTGAGGGAGGACCTACAGGTGTGGGCGGAGCCTGCAAGTGTGGGCGGAGCCTGCGGCCCGTGGGTGCTGAGGGCGGCCCTCAGGTGTGGGCGGAGCCCGAGTCCTTTGGGTGCTGAGGGAGGGCCTGCAGGTGCCTCCTTGGGTGCTGAGGGAGGGCCTGCAGGTGCGGGCGGAGCCTGGGCCCCATGGGAGCTGAGGGAGGCGGTGCCTCCTTGGGTGCTGAGGCTGGCCTGGGCTCGGCCTGTCCCCGTGCACCTGCTGCTCACCAGCCTCACCCCTGCAGGAGCGCATGCTGGACCATGGCGCTCCGAGCAGAGGACAGGGTGGGCACAGGGATCCTCGGTGGGGCTTAGGGGTTTCCCAGCAGTGGGGAACCAGCAGGAGAGGTCATTTTATCAAAAGCCACTGCCTTGTTCCGTGCTGGGGCCACAGAGGCAGCCATGGGCAGGGGGAGGATTCTGGAGTCCCATGGGAAGCACAACAGAAGCACACATGTACCAGGTGACCGCGTGGGGCCCGCTGGCCTTCCAATCCAGGACACCACAGAGAGGCTCTTGGAGAGACTGGCTAAACCACTGGCCCAGCCAGGAGAGCACGCCTTAAAAACATGGGAGACGCAGCCAGCAGGCAGGATGGGGGACACACATTGCCATGACTGTTCCCACTGCTGGGGGAGCAGGGGCCCCCAACCTCCAAACACAAGGGCAGGAGAGGCAGGGGCCCGCACGCCGCCAGAGCGAAGGCATGTTTTAATTGAGTCACGGTTGAGAGGGCATCCCTCTTGCTGTGGGGTCAGTCGGCTGACTGGCCAGCCAGGGTCTGGGGGTTCAGACCCCCACAGTCTGGGGGGGGTGTGCCACTGAGTGAGCCGGCAGTGGAGAGGCTGCAGCCAAGTGGCCTCGGTCCTGCCCGCACAGGGTGGGCTCGCCCGGCCTCACTCCTGCAGTAGCTTGTGCTTGACCGTGGAGCTCTCGGAGCAGAGGTGGACGAAGAGGGCGCCGGCAGCCGTGCGGGCCCGCAGCTCCTGCAGCTCGTAGTCGTGGGCCCACTCGACGTTGCCCCACTTCTGGATCTGAGCGGGGGAGACAGGACGAGCTGCTGACCGCTGCAGGATGCTGGGGGTTGGGTGTGGCAGAGGGGGCGGGGGCGAGTCCTTCCCAACCGAAGCGTGGGTGCTTCAGACCCAGGAGCCATAGCGTTCATCGGCCCCTGAGCTTCCTCACGCAGCCAGCCCCAGCCGGAACAGGATCCCAGACTGCAGCAGGTGGACGGCCAAGTTCAAGGGCAACCCCACCTGGCAGGGCGGTGCTGCAGGGGAGGTGTGGGACGGGCGGGCTGAGCCCTACGCTCGCATGCTGCCTTGTTTCAGTCTCCATAGGCTCTGAGACCCAGTGAAGGCACCCTGCCCGCAGCTGGCACCCCTCACCTGGTACTCCTCCTCCAGTCGAGACAGCAACACCGCCCGCTCCACCGTCAGGTGCAGATCAATGAGACCCAAGGTCAGCACCATGGACTTGAGCTGGGTCGCCACAAACTCAATCCCTGGGGTACACACACAGGCCAGAGTCAGGTCCAGAATGGGGCATGGCTGCTGTACCCCAGGGCCTAGTGTACCCTGCACCCAGAGCAGAGGAAGGGGACAAGAGTGGGCTGGGGCCCTTGGGAGTTCCACCTGGCCCCAGCCCCTGACCCAAGCCGTTTGCTGGAGAGGCTGGTGCCAGGCGGGGGCATAACCACCCACAGGAGGATGCTGCATGGGTGCTGGGTGCCTACCTTGTAGGGCCCACATGTTGTAAGATGCCAGGTGGCTGGCAATCACCTCGTGCGTCTTGGCGGGGATCCTGGGCCCCATGATGCTGGTGGAGGAGCCGATCTCCACGCCGTACCTGCAAGGAGAGGGCTACCGCGGGCCCCTGCCGTGCTGGGAGCACGGGGGGGTACCCCTTCAGGCGTGTGACCCAGGGGCTTCTGCAAGCAAGCGCCACTGTGCTCAATGGCCGTCTGCTGACCAAGACGCAGCCGGGAAAGAAGGCCCAGGTGGCGCAGCCTGGGGCGTGGCCAGTTCCATGCAGTAGCCAGAAATGCTGACCCGCTCTCCTGGCACCTGGGCAGCAGTGACAGCTCCCGACCCCGGCCTGGCCCAGCCCCGGCTGCCGGCATGCAAGCACTCTGGAGGGCAGCAGTGACAGCTCCCGACCCCGGCCTGGCCCAGCCCCGGCCGCTGTGGGCATTTGGAGAGCGAAGCAGAGGAGATAGTTTTTTTTTTTTTAGGAGTGGGCACTGGGGTGGTGCAGCTGGCTGAGCAACTGCCTGGGAACCGCTGGTTCAGGTCCCAGCTACTGCGATTCCGGGGCCAGCCCCTCTCAGTGGAGGATGGCCTAAGCGCTTCTGGGTCCCTGCCACTCACGTGGGCGACACAGCCAGAGGCCCTGGCCCCCATGGCCGCGTGGCGAGCACACCAGCAGAATTTCTGTCACTCTGCTGTTCAAAGAAACCAATAAACACTTTAAAAATTTTCTTTTACCATCGCGGTTGCAAAAAGATATGGGTTTTTTTTTTTTTAAAAAGATTTATTCATGTTTATGAAAAAAGCAAAATTATAAAGAGAAAGAACAACAGAGAGAAAGATCTTCCATCTGCTGGTTCACTCCCCAAGTGGCTGCAACAGCAAAAGCTGAGCAGTTCCAAAGCCAGGAGCCAGTAGTTTCTTCTGGATCTCCCATGTGGGTACAGGGTCCGAAGGTCCATCCTCTACTGCCTTCCAGGCCACAAGCAGGGAGTTGGATCAAAAGTGGAGCAGCTGAGGACCCCAGTGGCTAAAGTCCTCGCCTTGCACGCGCTGGGATCCCACATGGCCATTGGTTTGTGTCCTGGCTGCTCCACTTCCCATCCAGCTCCCTGCCTGTGGCCTGGGAAAGCAGTTGAGGATGGCCCAAAGCCTTGGGACCCTGCACCCACGTGAGCGATCCAGAGGAAGCTCCTGGCTCCTGGATCAGCTCAGCTCCAGCAGTTGCGGTCATCTGGGGAATGAACCTGACAGTGGAAGATCTTTTCTCTCTGTAAATTTGCCTTTCCAATAAAAATAAATAAATAAACCTTAGGGGAAAAAAATAAGAGTGTGATTTTTATTAGTGAGACACAGAAGGTGTTCCTTCCCCCTGGTTCAGGCTCTCTGTCCCGCAAACGCCAGCGACGGCAGGGCTGGGGCTGGGATGAAGCCAGGAGCCTGGGACCCAGCTCAGCATCCACTGTTGGAGCCCTTGCAGCTGCCTGCCCAGGGTCAGCCAGCAGCAGGAAGCTGGAACCAGGGGCGGGAGCCCCCATGCTCCAATGTTGGACTGGGACAGCCTAACTGGCAGCGTTCCCGCTGGGCTACCACCCAGCCCTGAAATGGGGACCCCGGGAGTACTGCAGGCAGTTAAGGACAGGGTAAGAGACTTTGGGTGCCACCAGGGGGGGTGCTGGGGCCGTCCCTGCTGAGCAGGACACAGGCGCGAAACCCAGGGGTCAGTGGGCCAGACCAAACTCCCCGTAAGCTTACAAAACACTGCAGCAGCCCCGCCAAACCCCCTCGGAAAGAAATAGAATTTTTTTTCGCCTACCACTTCAACAATCTGTTCAACACTGCATTTGAAAAGACTTTCCCCTGAGAAAATTAATTATCACCGATTCAATGGACCCTTGTCACCTAGGGGACACGGCTTGGGGATGCAGAAGAGGCCACCAGGTTTTCTCCAACGTCATGGTGACGAAGAAGAAAAATGGAAACCGCTTGGGGCCTGGCACTGTGGCACAGTACATTGAGCCTCCGCCTGTGGTGCCAGAATTCCACATGGGCGTCGGTTCGAGGGCCAGCTCCCTGCTCATGCACCCACGAGTGCAGTGAAAGACAGCCCAAGGCCTTGAGCACCTGCACCCATGTGGGAGAGCCGGAGGAAGCTCCAGGCTCCTGGCTTTGGCCTGGCCCAGCTCTGGCTGACGTGGCCATCTGGGGAGTGGACTTGGCACAGTGTGCGCCTAGAGCAGGTGCTTGGTGTGTGGTGGCTGGACACTGTGCCCAGGGAAGGTTTTCTCCTCCCGCCCCCGCCACCCTCGGTGTCCGGCCAGAGGCCATCTTACCTGTTCTCAGCCCACTCCACAACTGGATCCCACTCATTCTTCTGAAGCTCCACCAAGGTCTCTGGCTCTTCCACCCTGTAGCTAATGCATGGCAGAAAGAAACCACCTTCATTCATGAAAAGGGCACAGGTCTTCCGCTCAG